AGCCTGGTTGATCTGCCACCTGGTGAAGCTACTTATCCAGTTTCCTCTTGAAGACTTCTACACTTGTCCCAACAGTGTTTCTGATATCTTCTGGTAAAAGGTTGAATAGTCTGGGGTCACAGACATCGATGCAGAGTTCTCCATTTGGTGTCCACTGCATTCCTACTTTTTACTGGATTTATTTTACACTTCCTCCCATATCTCTCTCAAGAATGTTATGACAGTATGCAGATTTGAGACAAGGCCCTCAAGTACTTTCCAGGTAAATATTATCATGCAATTCTCTTTCCTCCGCTCCAGTGAATGAACATTTAAGACTTTAAGATATTCCCTGTAATTTAAATGTTTTATGGCCTCTATGCGGGCCGTAAACGACCTCCGTGTCTGTTCCAGGTTTGATATTTCTCTTGCCTTGAATGGAGCCATCTACACTGAGCAATATTCAAAATAAGAGAGCACAATCAGTTTGAAAAGTGTCACCACTAGCATTATTTTCCTTGTTTTGAAAGTTCTTATTATCCACCCTGTCATCTGACTCATGTGGTGTGTAAGTCTTATTTCTGAGTCTTACCCTGGGAACCCATTAGCAACACTAAGGGTGGTGGGTGAGAGAGTGGGTAGGCAGGATGGCGGGGTCACAGGGTGGGTGGTGGGTGAGGGTGAGGATGGGGAATGAGTTATCTTTATCCGAGAAAATGGAATTACAAAACACAAATAATCCACACACAGGAGAGAGGAGCTTACGACGACGTTTCGGTCCGACTTGGACCATTTACAAAGTCATAGTGGGACTGTAAATGGTCCAAGTCGGACCGAAACATCGTCGTAAGCTCCTCTCAAAATAGTTATCTTATGGATCAAGGGGTGGAAAGGAAAACATGAGCGTGTAAGGTGGTGAGTGAGGAGGGTGGGCGGGTGAACGTGGAAGGTGGTTGTTGGTGGGGAGGTTAGTGAGTGGAGAGGGTTGGTAATACCTGGAGAGGGCTTCGGGGGTCAACGCCCTCGCGGCTCGGTCTGAGACCAGGCTATTACTGCTGGCCGCACGCAAACTTACGTATGAACCACAGCCCGGTTGGTCAGGTACTGACTTTATAAGGTGCCTGTCCAGTGCCTTCTTGAAGACAGCCAGGGGTCTATTGGTAATATCCCTTATGTATGCTGCGAGGCAGATGTATGCTGGGTGGGTGAACATGGTAGATGTTGGTCTTGGAAGAGGTTGGTGGGTAAAGAAGGGTTACCTGGAGGTTGCCTGGAGGTTATTCCTGGGATCAACGCCCCCGCGGCCCGGTCCATGACCAGGCCTCCCGGTGGATCGGGGCCTGATCAACCAGGCTGTTACTGCTGGCCGCACGCAGTCCAACGTACGAGCCACAGCCCGGCTGATCCGGCACTGACTTTAGGTATCTGTCCAGCTCTCTCTTGAAGGCAGCCAGGGGTTTATTGGCAATTCCCCTAATGCTTGATGGGAGGCTGTTGAACAGTTTTGGGCCCTGGACACTTATGGCGTTTTCCCTTAGTGTACCAATGGCGTCCCTACTTTTAATTGGGGGCATTTTGCATCGCCTGCCCAGTCTTTTACTTTCGTAGGGAGTGATTTCTGTGTGCAGATTTGGGACCATTCCTTCCAGGATTTTCCAAGTGTAGATTATGATATATCTCTCCCTCCTGCTTTCCAACGAGTACAAGTCAAGTGCTTCCAAGCGTTCCCAGTAGTTAAGGTGCTTGACAGAACTTATACGTGCAGTAAAGGATCTCTGTACACTCTAGATCTGCAGTTTCACCTGCTTTGAATGGAGATGTTAATGTACAGCAGTATTCCAGCCTAGAGAGAACAAGTGATTTGAAAAGGATCATCATTGGCTTGGCATCTCTCGTTTTGAACGTTCTCATTATCCATCCTATCATTTTCTTTGCACTTGCGATCGTGGCACTGTTGTGATCCTTGAAAATGAGATCCTCAGACATTACTACTCCCAGGTCCCTTACATTATTTTTCCGCTCTATTGTATGGCCAGAGTCTGTAGTATACTCTGTTCTAGTTATTATTTTCTCCAGTTTTCCATAACGGAGTAGTTGGAATTTGTCCTCATTGAGCATCATATTGTTTACCGTTGCCCACTGGAAAACTTTGTTTATATCTTCTTGGAGGTTAACCGCGTCCTCAGCAGATGACAGCCTCATGCAGATCCTACTATCATCTGAAAAGGATGATACGGTACTGTGGTGTATATCTCTGCCTATGTCTGATATGAGGATGAGGAATAAGAAGTGGGCGAGTACTGTGCCTTGTGGAACAGAGCTCTTCAATATGGCAACCTCCGATTTAACTCTGTTGACCACTACTCTTTGTGTTCGATTTGTTAGGAAGTTGAAGATCCATCTCCCCACTTTCCCAGTTATTCCTTTAGCACGTATTTTATGGGCTATTACGCCATGATCGCATTTGTCAAATGCTTTTGCAAAGTCTGTGTATATTATATCTGCATTCTGATTTTCTTCCAGTGCATCCAAGGCCATATCACAGTGATCCAGTAGTTGTGAAAGGCAGGAGCGACCTGCCCTGAACCCATGTTGCCCTGGATTGTGCAGATTTTGAGAATCCAGGTGATTTGCAATCCTGCTTCTTAGCACTCTTTCAAAGATTTTTATGATGTGGGACGTCAGAGCTATTGGTCTATAGTTCTTAGCTAATGATTTGCTGCCACCTTTATGGAGTGGGGCTATATTCGTTGTTTTAAGTGACTGTGGAATTTCACCCATGTACTTAGGGCACGCGAGAGGGGTTTCTTGCAATTCTTAATGAATACAGAGTTCCACGAGTCTGGGCCCGGGGCTGAGTGCATGGGCATGTTGTCAATGGCTTTTTCGAAATCTGTCGGAGTTAGGATAATGTCGGAAATCTGGCATACATTTATGGAGTTTGAGGCTCATTCATGAAGAAATCATTTGGGTCGTCGATCCTCAGACTGATTAGTGGTTCACTAAACACAGAGTCGTACTGGGATTTCAATATTTCACTCATTTCCTTGTTGTCATCTGTGTAAGTCCCATCCTGTCTGAGTAAGGGCCCGATACTAGATGTGGTATTTGTCTTGTTTTTGGCATATGAAAAAAAATATTTTGAATTTCTTTCAATTTCATTAATAGCTTTAAGCTCCTCCTGTCTCTCCTGGTTCCTGTAAGAGTCATTTAACTTAAGTTTGATAGTTTCCACTTCCCTGGTCAGCACCTCCTTTCGTGTATCAGATATTCTAACACTCCTGAGGAACTCAGTGACTCTTCGTCGTCTTCTGTAGAGGGAGCGTCTTTCTCTCTCCGGTTTACTCCTGCTCTTCTTCTTTCTTAGGGGAATATGCCTGGAACATGCTTCAGCTGCCAGGAAGTTGATCCTTTAAAGGCACTGGTTTGGATCCATGCCATTTAAGATATCTTCCCAACATGTTTCATTTCGGACATGGTTTTCCTGGTCCCAGTTAATGTTCTTGTTGTTGAAGTTGTATTTTGTGAAGACATCTTCACAGGTACATGCATTCTGCTGATCAGGATTCCTATGCATGTACGTCTGGACTTCGATTAGGTTGTGATCAGAATTAGTTGTTTTTGATATTCTTATGTCTCTTATCAGGTCCTCATTATTTGTGAAGATAAGGTCAAGTATGTTTTCTAGTCTTGTTGGCTCTGCTATCTGCTGGCTTAAGGTGTGTTTTTCGCAGAGGCGTAGTAGCTCATGTGTGTGTGACCTTTCACCTGTGCTGCCTCCGGGGATTGTTTCAGCTATAACATTATTTGCTACATTCTTCCATTTTGTATGCCTTGGGTTGAAATCACCAGCAGTAAGATGTTTGGGGATGGAGCTGGAAGGCTTTCCAGACAGTAATAAATTTTCAGTAGGGTGAGTGTTAGGTGTTCTTGAACCAGGAAAATGGAGCCAGGGGGAGTGTGGGTGGTCTTGGAATGGAATGATGTGAAGACGGGAATGCGTATCTTGTTCCGAGGAAATGGAGTGGTTGAGGCTTGTAGGTGGTCTTTTTCTGAAGAATTGGAGCAGACTACGGTGGGTAGTATTGATCCGAGGAATTGGAGAGAGTGAGTCTGGCGAGTGATCTTGGGGTAGGAGAAGTAGGTGATATTGATCCAATGGGAATGGAGCAAGAATGCTGCAAGGTCTTAAGAGGAAGGTGATCTTGATCCGTGGAAATGGAGCAGGGATGGTTTGTGGGGGTGATCTTGATCCGAAAAATTGGAGTGGAGAGATGTTAGGTGATGGGTAGGGGTGGTAGGTGCTCTTGATCAGAGGAAATTGAGTCGGGTGGAAAAGTCTCTTGCCTACCTGGGCGAGATAATCACTCAGAATATACTCTTCACGAAAAAGATAGTCACTCTGTTGCCCTCTATCCTACCGAGGGGTATGAGACGTTCACTACGTGTCGCAAGATTTGACGAAATAACTTATGGCAAGCCTGGTGTTTTGGGGGTATGAGAGTGACCACCTAGCTATGGCTAGGTGCCCCATATTTATCTGGGATCTAGCTGTATGGCTAAAGTACTTCCTCCGTAAGCCATTTGTGTCGTAAAAGGCTACTAAAGTGCCGGAAGCGAGGGGCTAGTAGCTCTTCTCCTGTATGAATTGTTAAATTTAAAATGAAAATCGTACGTTTTTCTTTTTTAGGTCACTCTCCGTCACAATCCCGGTGCGTTGAAACAAAAAATGTGTGTGTGTGTGTGTGTGTGTGTGAGTGTACCCTGTTGTGAGATTTTAGGGTTGTATATTTTTACCTTGTTTCATGAGTTGTAAACTTTTCTTTCTATCTTCACTGTTTTCCTTGTTTAATCAATCTGTGCTCTCTCTCTCTCTCTCTCTCTCTCTCTCTCTCTCTCTCTCTCTCTCTCTCTCTCTCTCTCTCTCTCTCTCTCTCTCTCTCTCTCTCTCTCTCTCCAACATACACACTAACGCCACTAACATTCGACGAAACTTACCTACTCGATATTTCTTTCACCAGTCACGGCGACACCGTGATGCAACGCCTTACATCGATGATGATTCGCATCAGCTGTGGTCCTCGGAGGCCGCTGACCTACTGGAGGGGGAGCAGGTCGATGCTCACCTTTTGGAACACCAAGGTGAGTTGATACCCCCATATTAGTAGGTTATCAGTTTGATACCTACCTTCAGGAGATGGAGTGGGCTGATGCCTACCTGCTAGAGATTAAGTAGGATGGTGCCTACCTTCAGGTGCCTCCATACCTGCAGGTACCTCCATACCTGCAGGTACGGAGGTACCTGCAGGTACGGAGGTACTAGCCCGTACGCTAGTAACCGATTAGGTTGAGGCAAACCTACTGAAAGGCGAGTAGGTTGATGTATGTGTGCTAAACCACCAAGGTAAGTTGATGCTCACATACTAATAGACGATTAATTTGATTCCAACATGCTGTTAGGGATTAGGTTGATGCCTACCTATTCGAGAATGAGTAGGTTGATGGTGGTTGATGTTCTTGGTGCAGCAGGGCTTTATTTAAGGCTTTGTGGTTTATATCAATAAGAAAACTTGGAAAAAAGTGTCGCTTCCTGTGGCACCCCAGTCGTCACATTGCCTAAGTAATGCACGTTCATTCAAGCTAATACAGTTTAACCCCACATCCACTGATTCGGTATCTGCGGTTCCAGTTATCCAAGGTTGACTGTGGCCCAAAAATACCTCTTAATTTTGCATAATAATTGTTCCAAAAAGCAAAAGTATAAAAAGTGGCAGTTCTTCAAAACCTAAGAGAAGCCATAAAGTCCTTCCCTTCAGTGAAAAAATTATTATCGCTGTTTATCATACTTTATCATTTAAACTTTATAATAGGTATGTATAGGATTATATATAGGGTTTGCTACTCTCCACTGTTTCAGTATCCACGGCAGGTCCTTGGAACGTATCCCCCGTGGATACGTATCCCCCGCGGATACGTATCCCCCGCGGATACGTATCCCCCGCGGATACGTATCCCCCGCGGATACGTATCCCCCGCGGATACGAGGAGTCTACTGTATTTTCATTTCCCATTCATGTAATATTTCATACATTCCATAAGGCCTGTTATTTTTTTTATGCTTAATATTTAATACGTAACACTAACAAAAACTAATTTTTATATCTTAATATGTCCATGCAGCCAATTACCTTTTGTCTTGTGTAATTTATGCAAATCCATCATATTAAAAGGTCAGCTTAGAAATAAAGTATCTTGCTGATCTTAAGCACAACTTTCATAATTCTTATGTATTTCCACACATGCGTGTGCTTGTTGCATGAGTAGTGAATTATTATTATTATAATCAAGGGGGAAGCGCTAAACCCGTAGGATTATACAGCGCCCAGGGGAGGGGGGATGTGGAAGGCATTCAGGCTTAATTCGGGGAACTGGAGCACAGATCCAATTCCCTAAATCAAGAGCCCCTCACCAACATCAAGGAACCTTCCTTGAGGGGCATGAGTAGTGAAGGGTTCGTGAAATGCTGTTTTCTTGAATTTATTTTCGATAAACATTTCTTAGGGGACGACGATGGACTACCTAGAAAGAAAAAATGGAAAAAATTTGGAAAAAATGTTTTCTTACCGAAAAATAGGGCATAAATCTGTCAACTTGTTGATACAATCAGCTTGTTTCTATCATGTTTCTAAGTATCTTTTTCCAAGAATGTAATTTTTTGTTCTTGCTGTCATCAAGAGGACATGATGCCAATTCGTGTGACTTTTTTTATTTTACTCCAAAAAAATATGATTTTTATGATTGTTTCATTCCAAATACACTACAAGGCATCTTCTCTGTGGACGACATACTAATGTGCAGTGATAGCAGCTCAGTCGCCTGCAGGCTGCCGACAAGGGTGGGGGAGTGCGGTGTGCCATCATTTGGTGCTTCGTGATCGTCGAGTTTTACTGAAAACGTAATGTGTCTATTACTCAGGAATAAGTTATTGACCTTTTTTCCCTGTTTTTTGAAAAACTGTTTGTAGGAGTATCATGATTTTTGCACACGTTATTGAGGAATGGTGGTTCTTCTCAGTTGTATTGGGGATTTGTAATATTTCTTACCATGTTTTTATTGATTTTTCCCCCAAAAAAATCCTTAAAAAAATTAAACATTGTTTATTATGCAATCTACTGACATTTCATCAAATGCAAGTTGAATTAGAAATATTTAGACCTTTATCTTTCATCTGATGTCAACTAGAACATTGTGCATCTTACCAATATTGTAAAAATGGTCGAGGTTTATGCCCTGTAAAATATGGCACTATTTATTTTTTTCTCTCTATCTTTTAAGGCAAAAAATCACTATAAACGCAGTGTGCAGGTTTTAAATGCTGCCTAAATCAAAGTAAAAAAAATAATTGAAACTGGAACAAAAAAAAAAAGTTAAATCATCGTGGCCCCTTAAATTTCCAATACCTGTAGAATATTCTGCCTCCATATTTTAGCACAAATAAGCTATGCCAACTTTTATGAGTAGTAATAATTTTAATATCATCAAGTAATTTCAATCTTTTGTTCTGTTGATTTAAAAAGAAACTTATTTTTCCTATTGTTTTGTGTGTTTTTATCTAATACTTTTATCAAAAAAAAACGAGGACATTCAAGGGCAAATTATTAATTACGTGCTCAATTGATTTCAGAGCCATTTCGCTGCATATCATTAAGTTTTTATATTGTTTCAGTATTATTATTGTTTTTGTTTAGATGTGGATGTAAAATTGGCTCATTATGAAAGAAAATTTTTACCCTAATTACCCTATTAATATTAGCTAGATGAGTTTCCGGATTTTGAATGTAATCTCTTTGACATAATTATAACATCCTGTTGACGGGCAGAATTACTTTTTAATCAGTGCATTCTTTCTTCTAGTATGGCACTCTCTAGTTGTTTCTTCTGTTATGCATTTCTCTAGTTGTTTCTACTGCTATGCCTTTCTCTAGTTGTTTCTTCTGCTATGCCTTTCTCTAGTTGTTTCTTCTGCTATGCCATTCTCTAGTTGTTTCTACTGCTATGCCACCCTCTAGTTGTTTCTTCTGCTATGCCGCTCTCTTGCCGTTGTCCTATATCTCTCCCTACTCTCTTCCTCTATATCACTCTCAAGTTGTTTCTTTTACGTTGCCGTCCAGTTGTTGTTCTATTTACTGGATTTGAATACATAAAGTAAACCTGAACTGTGATTTGGACGGCTTTGGCAAATCTAAAAAAAAATTATCGAAGAAATTTAATTATCGGTATTTCCATCTAAGCCCCAGGTAAACAGGTGTATATATTCAAAAATACTTGGAAACCAATATTCTGTGTTCAATAATTATTGAACCACTATCACTTTAAGTATTTAATGTGAGTCTTCGTCCCTTTCACAGGTTCTGTATAAAGACTTACTGTAATGAGTTGGTCGCGATGCCTACTATGTTAGGGATCTCATCTAAAGGTGTCTTTAATGTTCAGCTCTCGGTAAAATTAAGGAGGACATCAAGGTTTATTAAACCTTTCTTACTGAGTCACAATCAAACCAAACTGCTTGGAGAGTTGTTGTTGAAAGATTGACATCTGATTTACGCTGTTTTAATCATCACCAAGCAGAGAGCCAGATGTCTCATGAACTATCTGCGGAATTTTCGAAAGGACAGGTTGAGGTAACTTCGCCTTAGAGGTAACGCCTAGAAATAACAGCTACAAGACAGTCAAGATCAGCCGGGCTGCCAGGAACTGTAGACAACAAAGAGGACATCTGAAATCGACCCCTTCATGAATTCCAGAAGGTCATTCTAACTTAAGAAGTGAAGCAGACGACAATGGCAATGAATAAAGATCATGTTCTGCACAATATTGGAATTAGTGATCTTGTGGCTAGCCTCTTACCCCTTCTTTTCGGCACAGTTAAGCAGATGTTGCAAAAAAGTAGCAAGTTGTGCCATACCTTGATGGCTGGTGGAGAATTTAGGCTAGTGAAGCAATTGTTTACTTTTTTAAGAACATAAGAAAGAAGGAACACTGCAACAGGCTTACTGACCCATGCGGAGCAGGTCCATGTCCCCCCTCCGCGGATTAGACCAATGGCCCCCCCCGGATTAGCCTAATGACCCACCCAGTCTGGTCACCTCCACTCAAGGATGGAGCACTGCACCAGATCCAGCAGCACAAGCTAGTCAGGTCCAACTCACACCCACTCATGTATTTATCTAACCTATTTTTTAAAACTACACAACGTTTTAGCCTGAATAACTGTACTCGGGAGTCTGTTCCACTCATCCACAACTCTATTACCAAACCAGTGCTTTCCTGTATCCTTCCTGAATCTGAATTTTTCCAACTTGAAACCATTGCCGCGAGTCCTGTCTTGGCTGGAAATTTTCAGCACGCCATTTACATCCCCTTTATTTATTCCTGTTTTCCATTTATACACCTCGATCATATCCCCCTTAATTCTACGCCTTTCGAGAGAGTACAGATTCAGGGCCCTCAGTCTATCCTCATAGGGAAGATTTCTGATACATGGGATCATCTTTGTCATCCTCCTCTGTACGTTTTCCAGAGCATTTATGTCCATTCTGTAAGACGGTGACCAGAACTGAGCAGCATAGTCTAAATGAGGCCTAACCAAGGATATATAGAGTTGAAGAACAACCTGAGGACTTCTATTATTTATACTTCTAGATATGAAGCCAAGAATTCTGTTAGCTTTATTGCGAACAGTAATGCACTGTTGTCTTGGTTTTAGATTACTGCTAACTAGAACTCCTAAATCCTTTTCGCAATCAGTAGTATTAAGATCTACATTATTTAGTTTATATGTGGCATGGTTATTTAACTGTCCAACATTTAGAACTTTGCATTTGTTAATATTAAACTGCATCTGCCACTTCTCCGACCATTGCATCAGTCTATTCAAATCATCCTGGAGTGCTCTAGTGTCCTCATTAGAATGAATTGGACGGCCTATTTTGGTGTCATCAGCAAATTTGCTTATGTCGCTATTTATTCCCTCATCTATGTCGTTTATGTAAATTGTGAACAACAACGGGCCCAACACTGATCTCTGAGGAACACCGGTTGTTACGTGCCCCCATTCTGATTTCTCCCCATTTATGCAAACT